TCCGATGGGGAATAAAGAGGAGGGAAAGGGGAGAGGAGTTTGCAGGAGACAATTAGTTCGCTTCATTGGTTTGTGACTCTCCAAGACTCCTTGCCAAGTTTTGCAGAGATGCGGCCAGGGCCGTCCGACAGTTATCAGCTGCTTTTGGAGTCGGATATCAGTGGGGCAGAAGAACAGTTGGAGCCTGTTCCCAGTGTGCACATGTGTAGAGCTGCCAGGAGAAGAGAACAGCTAAGAAACAAGGGTCAACTTGGAAGTAAAGCCACAGATGGACAGAGGGAATAAAGAGGAGTGAAAGGGGAGGGAAGTTTTCAGAAGACAATTAGTTTAACTCATTAGGGAGAAGATCTGTTCCTGACTTCTTGCCAAGTAATTGCTGCTACAGCGTGGTGTTTGGAAGATTTCAGCCTGGCAGCTCTCCAAGCCTGATAAAGGTCTGTAGTTGTGAAATCTCTTGAAAGACTGTTAGCCGGGACTTTGCTGGAGAGGAATTCCCTTTAACCTAAATACAAGAGGTTTTATCGGGATGAGGAGTCGGCTTCATGCTCTTGGGAAGCCTAGGTCAGATTATGAAGACCAACCAAGGTCTAGTTTAAAACCTCAACCCATCAGGAAGCTTTCCAGTTATCTTGAAACTGCAACTCCCAGAATTCCCAAGAGCAACACTCTGACTAGGAATTCTGGGAGTTCCGGGTCCAATACATTGGAGGATGTAAAAGTTAAACAAGACTAATGCTTAGGGCAGAATACAAAGCAAAAAGCAGACATAATACGAAAACGTTGTAGTGGCACAGTGGTTAGAATGCAGTATTGCAGGCTCTGCCCCACAGCCAGGAGTTCGATCCTGACCAACTCAAGGTTGACTCATCCTTCCATGGTAGGTAAAATGAGGACCCAGATTGTTGGGGGGCTATAGGCTGACTCTGTAAACCGCTTAGAGAGGGCTGTAAAAGCGCTGTGAAGCGGTACAGAAGTCTAAGTTCTATTGCTACTCTGAGTACAAATCCTATTAGTTAATCCCAGAGCTTCTTATTGTTAGAGAAGAAATCCAAGAAGCAAGCAACACTCAGGCAAAGGAGCTGCATTAGCAGGAAAACCTCTTTGTCTTACCCTGCTGTACGCATTTGGGAAATGCCTGGAGAAATAGACCATGCTGTCCAGCGCAAGCAACCCCGGAGGAGTCCGGTGCAAATCCAACGCTGGGTTACTGTTATTCTGAAAGAGAAGGTTAGTCAGCAAGGTGGGAAAATTCATACAGGATACAACTCCCGTTTCCCACGGCCTTGACGTCAATAAACTCCATAACTGTCAGGTGCAAATTATCAGGATCATTAGCACAGAAGAGTTTATTATTATTGCTACCCTTTCCCCCCAAAAATAAGACCTCCCCGGATAATAAGCCCAATCGGGATTTTGAGCGCATGCACTAAAATAAGCCTTCCCCCGAAAATAAGCCCTCCCTGAAACTATTGCAACATAGGAGCAGCCATGAGGTGACCATGCTTGCCGCTTTCTGCACCTCAAAAATAATAAGACCTCCCCGAAAATAAGGCCAAGTGCTTATTTCAGAGGTCAAAAGAAAATAAGATCCTGTCTTATTTTGGGGGGAAACACGGTACCTAGACACAAGAATCTAGTCAACTAATGATCAGTGCTAAATTGGTGCTAGGTAAGGAATGGGCTTGCGTGTCTTGCGGCAATGCAATGACTCTAAACCGATGACATGTTTTACTCCGCCCTCCAGTTCTGCCTCCTCTTCTACTACTACAGTACTTCAAAAAAACATGTACTTAATTCGTTGTAGCCCCACTCATGTTTGCACCAAAATCTGTCCACTCTGTAGCCCTTGGCCACTAGAAGGTTATTACCTTGAAAGCCCTTCATGGCATGAGTCCAGACTATCTGAGAAAGCATCTCCCCCCAATGGGATTGGCCTGCCCTTCCACACTGGCAGAAGGGGCATGCTGCGGACCCCATCAGTCAAGGGATTTCGGCTGGCAGGGACCAGGAGAAGAGCCTTTTCTGGCGTGGCTCCTGTTCTTTGGAACGTTGTGCCCCCCAAAGCGAGATCCACACCCACTCTTTTAGTCTTCCAGAAGGACCTGAAGACCTGAATCTGCCAGTGGCCTGGGGCTCAGGGATGGGATTCAGCCGGTTTGGACCAGTTCAGGCGAACTGGTAGCTCCGGCCATCAGCTGAGAACGAACCGGTTTGCTCTGATGATCAAGTAGCTCGCCCCTGCACTCTCCTGACCTATATTCCCCTTTCTGAAACCCAGCTGATAGGTGTGGCAGAGAGGATTGTCTCAGCTGTTTTACTCACCGGGACTGCAGTAGAAGGAAAATATTCAAATTTAATGAGTGCGCTTTGCGTGCGCTCAGCAAACTGGTTGTTACACCGATTGAATCCCACCATTGCTGGGGCCCCAGCTGGAGTTTCTCACACTGGAGGTGGTTAACAGAGTAAGAGAAGATCCCACCATCCTCCATGTGCATCTTGCACCCTTTCCCCCATCTTTTAATTGCATATTATTATTATTATTAATAATAATAATAATAATAATAATAATTTGTTTTGCTGACTTTTAATGTTTGTAAACCACTCAGTCATCTCTAGGCAAAATGGGCAACACACATGTCAAAGAAGGAAGGAAAGAAGGAAGGAAAGAAAAGGAAAGAAAAGGAAAGGAAGGGAAGGAGGGAGGAAGGAAAGGACAGGAAAGGAAAGAAGGGAAGGGAAGGAAGGAGACAGAAAGAGGAAAAGATGGATGGATGGATGGATGGATGGATGGATGGATAGACGGAAGGAGGGAAAGGAGGGAGGGAGGGAGGAAAGGAAGGAAGGAAAGGAAGGAGACAAAGAGGAAAGGATGGATGGATGGATGGATGGAAGGAAAGGAGGAAGTAAGGGAAGGAGGGAGGAAGAAAAGGAAGGAAGGAAAGGAAGGAGACAAAGAGGAATGGATGGATGGGTGGAATGAAGGAAGGAAGGAAAGGAAAAGAAAGGAAAGAAGTGAGGGAGGGAGGAAAAGAAGGAAGGAAAGGAAGGAAACAGAAAGAGGAAAGCATGGATGGATGGAAGGAAAGGAAAGAAGGGAAGGAGGGAGGAAAGGAAGGAAGGGAAAGGAAGGAAGGGAAAGGAAGGAGACAGAAAGATAAAAGGATGGATGGATGGAAGGAAGGAAAGAAGGAAGGAAGGAAGGGGAGGGAGGGAGAAAAGGAAGGAAAGGAAGGAGACAAAGAGGAAAGGATGGATGGATGGATGGATGGAAGGAAGGAAAGGAAAGGAAAAGAAAGGAAAGAAGGGAGGGAGGAAAGGAAGGAAAGGAAGGAGACAGAAAGAGGAAAGGAGGGATGGATGGAAGAAAGCTTTTCACCATGAAAAGCCCCCTCGGGCATCTAATCCGCTTCAAAGCTCCTGAGCAGAACTCACCACAAAGCCCAGCTTGCGGAATTCTTTAGCACAAAGCGAGTGTCGACGCTCGGTGTTGTAGCTGCCAGCGGAAGACTCGTTCTCGGACACAAAGGCAGCATGGCGCAAAGACTGGAGCAGGTCCCGTTGTTCCTGCACATCGAAAATAAGCAGATGTTCCAGTCGGCGGAGGAGGAAGGCAACTGCCCCCAAGGCACCCAACAAACAAACAAGCCACCCCTGAAGGGGAACTCAAGACAAGGGAAGAGACCTGGGAATAGGGGTCCATGGGGGCCCTCATCCGACGCTCCAGGAGGTTGAGTGTGAGCGACTGCAGGACGTAGAGGTAGTGAGCCATCTCATCCGCAATCGGGTCCGAAGCGTGGACAATGTTCTGAAGGGGAGTCCAAGACAGGCACAAATATGACTCTGCCCCATCCTCCCCCTTGGGAGCAAGCATCTCCTTTCCTAACGTAGGGCGCAGCAAGGACCAACGTGCCTCTCTACAGAGGTGAAAGCGTTACGCCCAGAAGCGGCAGGTGAGGATCGAGCACAGAGACCCTCTGAAAGTTAAGACTTGGCAGCCAAGGTGGGAAGAAGCAAACGGGGGACGGAAACGGAAGATGCCACCTCCATGCCCACCTTGTGGATAAATTGCCGGAGGTTCTTCTCCCCTAGATAGTCCATCATCTCCTAGAAATGGAAAGCAGGCAGTGAGACAACCTTACTACCTTCTCTACCAGGCCATCCTTCTCTAGCAGGTTGGCTGGGCAGACGTATGCAAATATGGGCAAATGTAAATCTAAAGATAGAAGACTTAGAAAGCCTGCTTTACCCTTCTTTCTGCCTCGCCAGCATTGAGGAGGAGAGCAATCAGGAGCGCCATAGCTTTGAGCTGCAGCTGTGTGTTCATTCTAATACAGAGACGGGGGGGGGGGGGAGAAAGCCAGAGGTTAGACTACATCTTACACCAGGAGGCTAGAGGAGCACAGAGGCTCACAAGGTTAGGAAGCTGGGTTTGAGGTTAGCAAGCCCGCGTTTGAGACCCAAGCACTGCCGTGGGGTGGGAATGGGCTCCCGTCCTTCACTTCAGCTTCTGCCATGGACAGGAAAAGAGGCCACACCCCGGGCGTCCCCAGGGCAATGGCAGTATCACCACCTAATCCAGTGATGGCTAACCTTTTTGTCCCGGCATGCCAAAATCGCACGTACACACGTGTGCCCACAGCCACAATATGATGCGCCCCGTCCCCCCTGTACAAGCACGCACGACACCTCCATATGCTTCCCCCAGTGTATGTGCGTGACACACACACCCCCTCGCACTTGTGCCTGACTCCCCAGGACCTGTTCTGGGCCTCGCAGGTCTCCCTGAAGCCTCCTGGGACCCAAAATGAGGCACGGAGAGTGTCCCCCACACCCGACATGTGTGAATGACCCCTCCGACCCCATCCGTGCAGGTGCACGGATCTCCCGTATGTGCAGAATCCTGAAAATCAGCTGGTGGGTGGGAGGCCCGCGCATGCATGCTGGAGCTGAGCTGGGGGACGGCTCATGTGCCCACGGGGGGGGGGGGTGTCCACGTGCCATCTGTGCCATGCTTGCCATCGGTTCGCCATGACGGAGCTTATCCTTTCAACCTGAAAGCACCATGGGGCTTCCGACACGAGTGCGATGCTACCGGAAGGCTTGGGTTTCCCCATAACCTCCATGAGCCTCACCAAGGATTCTCAACATGATCACATTCCCTTACTTCCCAAGGCAGCATGATGACGCTGGGAGGGCCTTAACATTACCATCGCCCACATGAGTGAGGGATCAGCACACTGCAGCTGGTGGAAATCCCAATTTTGGGGCATGTAACTCCCACAAATACCGTATTTTTCAGAGTGTAAGACACACCTTTTTCCCTCAAAAAAAAAAAAAAAAGGCTGAAAATCTGGGTGTGTCTTATACACTGAATACAGCATTTTTTTGCCTCCAGAATTAATTTAATTTATTAGATTTATAGGCCGCCCAATCCGGGAGGACTCTGGGCGGCTTACACAGAACAAGAAAATAAAAAC